GTTACAAATTGAACATAATTAAAGCATAGTGATTAATCACAAAAACAATATGTAATTATATATGTGTTTTCCGATGGTCTTAGGCGACCCCTGTGAAAGGGTTGTTCGACCCCCAAAGGGGTCGCGACCCACAGGTTGAGAACCGCTGCCCAAAGGCAAAGAAGCAGGGGAGAGGCAGACCTGAGCAAAGGCAGCAAGTGGGATAATGGGCCTCTCGGGGAACCAGCTTCACTGACAACCGAGAACCAGCACTCCCCAAACCTTTGCCCCTTTTCGCTGCATAAAACCTGGAGCAAAGGTAAAACCTTAGGAGTTAGTGGGGAAGGTGGTCCCCAAAATAAGAGCTGAATTTCTCACAGGCCCAGCAGGATAGAGGTTCAGATTAAAAATTAAGTAGGTTTATAGAAAAATAAGACATGTGACATTTCTTACACACCTGAGTTTGTAATCTGAGGATAATAACCACTACAATTTAATTAAAATGTTAAATTTTACATTCTATAATGCTAGTTATTATGGTGACTGATGCCTCTTAAAAACAAGATTCCAGAATGTCTTTCTGGTTTGATTCATTTTAAGAAAATGATTCCAAAATGGTGAACTGGTGAAATCAGCACACACACATACACACACACACACACAGAGCACCACACCCACACACGCAGATGTTGGACAGCAGGCCATTTTTGGTTCATCTATCCCCTTCCACTTTTATTTAGCAATATTTTATTTTAAATTTCTCACTATAATTGACACAATATTCAGGGGTACAACATAGTACAGTGGGGTCTTGACTTACTAGTTTAATTCGTTAACTCAAATTACTCTATCAACTCAATGCAAAAAATCAGCCGAGAGATAGCTAGTATCTCAAAAAACTCGTTAGTCGGGACACTCGTAAGTCAAGACCCCACTGTAATTAGACATTTATGTAACTTACAAAGTGATCCCCACAATAAGTCCAGTATCCATCTAATACCATGAATCCTTATTACACTATTATTGACTGTATTCCCTATGCTGTACTTTACATCCCCATGACTGTTTTTATAACTGGTAATTTTTGTTTCTTAATCCCTTCTCCTTTTTTACTCAGCCAACCCTAATCCCCTCGCATCTGGCACCCATCCCTTTGTTCTCCGTATCTGAGTCTATTTCTGTTTTGTTTATTTTTTTGTTTTGTTTTTTAGATTCCGCATATAAATGAAATTATGTGGTGTTTGTCTTTCTCTGATAACTCTATTCTTACTACTCTCCCAGGTCAGTCCTGTCATTACCCCCATTTTTCACACTGAGAATCCAAAACACAAAGTCTAGGGCTAGTCAGTAGCAGAGATGGGTTTTGAACCAAGGGGTCTGATTCTAGAGGTCCCTGTTCTAGCAATGTTGATATGACTATTCAGGCAAACGAGAATAAATTTCAAAGGCATTGTACCTTTTTGGATGGCCCTAGGACACTGGGGCTCGGTTATTCTGTTGTCTGCCATCTTAGGCATGAATGGAGAGGAGACATTGAGGGCAATTTCAGACACACTGTGCTGCACATGCTGTGTGCAGAAGTGTCTTTTAATGATCGTGTGTGTGTGTGTGTGTGTGTGTGTGTGTGTGTGCGCGCGCGCGCGCGTGGAAAAGGCGAGAACATTTCACAGTGTATGCAATTTTAGCTTAATTAGAAGAGGAAGAGTGTTAACAAGTTATTTTTAAATGCACCAAAGAGCAGGAGGTGTATTAGAATTAAATTACACCCTGTGAGGCTGATTGGCAGGCCATGTAATGTTGGAAAGTTCACAATCTTGTCTTTATCAGCTCAGTTTGCAAAGTAGGCCTGAAAGCTGTGTCCCCAAACCCATAGTCTGGAGCTATAACTATTCAAGTTAAAAAAAAAAAAAAAACCTAATTGGAAATGTGATAAGCAACGATTAGGCAGCCCATTTCAGGAAGAAAATGAACAAAATGAGCAGATGCCAACTGCTGTGACTTTTGTGAAAAAGGATGGACAGGGGTTTAAATGAAAGGTTTTCTGTCAGTCACCTAAGGAAGGCATTTCCCTCAGGGCATGCCATTAGCATGTCATTTGCATAGAGAAGTTCAAACAAAAACCAGCACCACCAGCTAGAAACTCTTGGGCACAAAGAGCCTGCATTCAAAAGCTGCTGACTGGTGGGAGGGAGGGCGTCCCTGTAGAGGGCACTGGGAGTCTCACTGCCAACTGGGAATGCCCCTGACCTTGCAGTAGCGAGAACTGAAATAACCCTGGCAAAATGGAGCCCGCAGGGGGTCAGAGGACCTTGGCTCCTGTTTTGGCTGAAGTTCTTGGGCTGGAGCCCAGAGTCCATGTGCCTTTGAGGAATGACTTTCCCGGGGCTCCCTGATGGCCACCGCTCCCCTCCAGGGCAAACCGCATCTTCCTCCTCCCTGTTTTGAAGGCTAAGGAGTCAGCCCATCAGATCCTCCACCTTGTCCTCTAACTACAGCTGCGTCTCCTGTTCAAGCAGGAGTGTGGACGCTGTGTCTGACTGTTTCTGTTCAAATCCCGGCCTAAAGACTGCTCCCTGGGGGCCTGTGAGCTTGACGTCCCTATCTGCCTCAGTTTCCTCGTCTCTAATATGGAGGAAAGACTACCTCCTAAGTGTGTGGTGAAGATTAAAGTAGATAAAGAAAATAAAACAGAGAAGCGTGTTTGGCACTTACTGAGTGCTCGATATATGTTAGCAATTAACATGGATTTGCCTCCTTGCGTGGAGCTAACATCAATCATTCCTATTCATATCCCCTGTAGTTGCCAAGAATAAATACCGTCATGTACTTAGTCCATTTAAAACAAATCAATTCGTTTTTAAACTCAGCTATATTTCAGGTAATAATATTTGTGAATGCCCAGGTGTAATATGTTTATTTTTCCTAATATACATTAAAATAAAAACAGACCCACTGAAATAATGTTTTCTAAGGTTGGCACCATCTGAAATACCAGGGCACATTTCACAGGCTAGGCAATGCTGTCCACACACAGTCATTCATCTCTCAGTGGTTCTCTCAGGAAGAATTGAGACAACACTTACCAGGCGAATGGAGAGCCAGTTGGGCAATAGAAACGGAAAAGCACCTTCCCTGCCCTCACTGAGCAAACAGACACGCAGCGGGGAGATGAGAACAATGAGAGCCCTGGAGATGGGGGGGGGTGGGAGGCTAGGCAATGCTGTCCACACACAGTCATTCATCTCTCAGTGGTTCTCTCAGGAAGAATTGAGACAACACTTACCAGGCGAATGGAGAGCCAGTTGGGCAATAGAAACGGAAAAGCACCTTCCCTGCCCTCACTGAGCAAACAGACACGCAGCGGGGAGATGAGAACAATGAGAGCCCTGGAGATGGGGGGGTGAGGGGGGTTGGCCCTCATTCCACTGGGCAGGCCAGTTCCCACAGGAGACAGCATAAATAAAGAGAACCAAGCATCATTCCAAACTGTTATTCCAACTTATTCCAAATTCCCATTTTAAGACAACTTGGCTTTGCACCCAGATTCTACCTCCTGGAGATCGTAGGCTTCTTCCTGGAGTCCTCTGGGCATGATTTCTCATCTGTAAAACGGGCACGCTGTCCAGCTTGTGGAGCTGGTGGAGGATAGAACCTGCTGCCACAGCAGGTCCCGGCAAAGGAGAGTTCACCCCAGGGGATCGATCCTCTTAGGACAGGGCCTTCCTCATGGGCAGGCCTGCGGCACATGCCTGGTTCTCCCCTGGGCGGTGAATGCTCTCTCGGCTTACCCTGAAACCTGACTCTTTGGGAAAGCAGCCCTTGGCAAACTACACCAACTTGGCCATAGGAAGGCTTTCCAAGGTCAAGGCACAACTCCTAGAGCCTTGCATGTATTTCCTGTCACAACAGTATCCTGTATAGGTGGAGGCGCATAAGATCCCATTAGGAACTGAGGCATGGAAAGGATATGTCACTTGCCCAGGTCAAATAGCTGGCAAATGGATGAGCAGGTAACTATTAAAATTAGTAACCACTAAAATTGCCAACTACTCGCTCAGATATGTCTCTAATGCCCACAGTAGTGTGGGACCACATCATCATCCAGCTCAGTGATTCTCTGCTAGAGCAGTTTCTGTCTCCCCCAGAAGACATTTGGCAATAATGGTGACATATTTGGTTGCCACAGCTGTGGGGTGGGTGCTACTGGTATCTAGTGGGCAGAGGTCAGGGATGCTATTATACAACCTACAGTGCAAGGGACAGGCCTCTCCCCAAACAATCATCTAACACAGAATGTCAGTAGTGCTGAGGTTTAGAACCCTGAGGTAGGCACGACCTTCTTAACTCTGCAGAACCTAAACTGTTCAGCACCCAGCTGATTATTCGGAAGAAGCCACAGGATGTCTGATTCCAAAAGAGAAAGCTTCAAGTTGGGGCAGAAAAACCACACGTGCTTTGTCACCGGAAAGCAATGACCTTGAGCCAACTGCCCAGGGTACATTTGCCTGGAGATGCAGATAAGCTGGTTACAAACCTCAGGTGGGACACTGTGGCTGGGTAGAAAGGAAGAGCGACGAAGCATGACATCTGGCAGAAGTCGAAGATAGTCATCAGCCAGCTTCTCGTGTAGAGAAAGGCGGAAATAGAAGAAAGAGGCACGTGCTCTTAAGCAGCAACTTTGGCTGAGCCACGCCCTGGGAGAAGCAGTCATGGGGATGGAGGCAGCTCCCTGGACGGTGGGGAGAGGGGAACTGGCTAAGACAGCAGCCAGGGGATGCAGAGGGACCTGCCAGGGTCCTGGGAACGGGTAGGCCACCCACAGCGTCGGCTGCATCTCATGTTATTGAACTACTGCTATGAATGCTTTTTTTAAGGGGACCTGAGGCTGCCAGTTGAAGAAGGGTGTGAATGGAAAAGTTGGAGAGGATTATGTCTTGTGATATTTTTCTACATAAACTGCAAAATAACCAAGTGAGGCTACAGGGCTTGGCTACTAGGAATAGGAACAGGAGACAAGAAGCTGACCTGAGTACTTTCTCTTTATTCAATCTAATAAACATTTTATTTATATAAAAGACGAACGATGCACAGTATGAAAATAAGTGCTTGAGACATTTGATATAAAAAGAGTATATAGCATTCACATTCCTATTTTAATACATTGAGTATGGCTGAAGTGTTCCATAAAAGAATAAAACTTTCCCTTTATGTGGAATAGTAAAAAAAAAAAGTCAGTATTTTTAGGAACTACAGATTATTCCTTGGTCTTCTTCTTGAATAAGAAAAAAAACACATAAACAAATCAAGCCACAGTATCATCTGATTCTACATTCCAGTTTATGCTGATGATGACCCAGAAGTGATAAAGCTCTTTGGAATCGTTAATGGACCAGTATTCTAGAAATTCACCACTAGAGGTCAATGAGCAACAGCTATTGGGCGGTGTCAACAAGCCTTAAAGTGCTCGGAATTTCTGGGCACTTCCCATGTATTGTAGCCAACCTGTCCTCAAGTTTCAGCCCCTCATACTCCCTCTCCCTCTTCCCTCCCCCCCCCCCCCCCCCCACGGGACAGGGTGCCTAGAAGTTCCACCTACTCCAAACTTCAGTATGTCTGCTAAAACCCCAATGAGATGAGATCATCCAAAATCCACAGAGCTGCTTTGCTCACTGTGAAGTCTCTAACATTCCTATATTTGGCAGAAAATAAGTAGCTTTAAAAAAAAAAGATTATTTGCAGCATTGACACTTGTTTGTGAAAAAACAAGTTTCCTATGGAGTATTAAAGCTCATTTTGTTCTCATCCATGCGGATTTCCTAACTTCAAACAGGATTCCTGTGTCCCACCCTTGAATCCTCACTAGGAGAATCTGCTATGTTGGGAAGGCTGGTGTGATAAGATCATGAAGAAAGCTTCTTAGAGGAAAGGACTCCCCTCCATAATACAGAGGGGAAGGAAACTCTTAATATAGAGACAAGAGAGACCTGGGCTACCCAGACCTCTCAGAGGAGGTCCGCTTTAGTCCAAAAAGGCCAACTTCAAATCTTAACACCAGATGGGGAGAGTGAGGGAATCGGTCATAGTACACAGCCAGGGAATGATGCTTGCATGCACATCCCTTACAGGGGGCCTTGGTTCAGGGCGGGGCGGGGGTGGGCAGAAAGCGCAAATGTTTACATCAAGAAGTGAAGCAGCTTTATACGTGCGTCCACACCTTCATTTTGTGAATGATGTGGGTCCGAGAGAACTGAAAACCATCTGCTATCTATTCTCACTTGAGGATCCAGATTGTGTGTGTATGTGTAAAATCTCCAAATATTTAAAAACTGGCTCAATTTTGTGAAACGCAGCGCTGGCCAAGCAAAACACGTGTTCAGAGTGCCCGAGGAAGCAGTCCCGACTGGGGCAGGATCGCAGCTCAAATCCTTTGCACCAGACCAAGATACACTTGAGCACTCAGGAGCCCAGGAGACACAAGCTATTGGTGTTGCTTAGAAAGCTGGAGACTCACACCAAGCGTGTTGAAAAATTAAACACAAGGAACTCTGGGGAGATTTGATCCTTTTTAGGAAAGGGAGAGGGCTGGGAGTGAACAAGAGTAATATAGGTATGGGGGGGGGATAAAATATATATATATATTTTCATATTAGTAGAAGGCATAGCAATTTCATGGACAAGGAATTTTGTCCTGACTTTTCTGCAGCCATTGAAGGCAAAAATGGGACTCGAGAATATATAAACTATTCGAGATGGGACCACATTTCTGCACTAGTTGAAGAAGGTGGTTCACAAGCCAGATGTGGGGCCTGAAGCTCAAGTGAACAGTCCAATGGCACAAGGAGCCCCAGGATCTGGTCCCCAAACAGTGGGGCTCTTAAGTAGCTCCATGGACAGATGAGGGCCCACACACAGGGAATGATTTTGCAGAAGCGAGTGCATCGTGGCCATAGCAGACTGTGGGACACGGAGCCTCTCTCCTAATGCCAGCCCCACCCTCCCCCCATGTAGTCAGAGAACCACCCATCCCGCGTATGATTGTCAAGTGCTAATGTTGTCATGGATCCCTTCTTCTGTGCTCAGCTCTGGAGCTCTCCAATCAAACCATTTTCCTGGGAATACTAGATCTTTTTCTTTATCTCTTTCCAGAGTATGGCTGTATATATAGATATAGACATATATAGATATATATATAAAACATAGCTATTCCATATTTATATACAGGCATTAATAAAGTGCAAATGTTATTAGCTATTGTAAAAGTCAATCTCATTTCCTGAGGAACTGCTAACACAGCTTATCCTATGACAACGTCAAAGGGATAGAATGCTTCATGTCACCCACCCCGGCCAGCTGTTTCTGCTCAGTCCCATCGCTTCCAGGGAGGGGAGTGAGCCCTGGTTTTCCAGGAAGCATCTGTCGGCTTAGTTCTTTGGACTTGGCCCAGCCTGCCCTGGAAGAGCTATTTGGTGGTGCCCAGCGAGCCATCTTCGGGAATCTTCTCCTCGGAGCAGCTCCTCCCCGAGAGTCTGTCCAGGTGCTCCAGCTCGCTGAAGCGCTCGGCCACACACTGGGCCGTGAGCCGGGCTTCTGGGTCGTGGTCCCAGCACTCAGTCAGAGTCTCACACACCATCTGGATGCCCTGCAGAGGAAGAGAAGTCCACAGGCAACATGAGCGGGGGTGTCGCTGGGCTCCACGGAGGGCCAGATGGTCTTTGTTCCTGCAGTGCAGGCCAGGTGGGAAAGAGCTCGTGCATTGAACCTGTTTCGACTGAGCGCTCGCAGTGCGAGGCCAGCCAGTGGCATGCAGACCGAGGGGGGTGTGCAGGGGGCTGTGCATAGCTCTGGACACCTGTTGGACCTGTCCGCTCTGCTGCCTTTTGATCACAGTAAGTCGTGAAATGGAGAGAGCACAAGGACCCTCAGTGGGCTTCTGGGGTCCTGAGAATTCCCAGGAAGTGCCCCCGGACCATATCACGGGACCAAATACCAGTCAGAGCTGCCCCACTCCTCCCCAGCGTGGGAAAGAGCTCGTGCATTGAACCTGTTTCGACTGAGCGCTCGCAGTGCGAGGCCAGCCAGTGGCATGCAGACCGAGGGGGCTGTGCAGGGGGCTGTGCATAGCTCTGGACACCTGTTGGACCTGTCCGCTCTGCTGCCTTTTGATCACAGTAAGTTGTGAAATGGAGAGACAGCACAAGGACCCTCAGTAGGCTTCTGGGGTTCTGAGAATTCCCAGGAAGTGTCCCCGGACCATATCACGGGACCGAATACCAGTCAGAGCTACCCCACTCCTCCCCAGCTTTAGGCTGGGCGCTGCGAAACAGTTGTTTTTGATTCCAGGCCTTTTCAGAGGGTTCAACCTGACCCCATAATGGCCCCATTCAAAAGGCACATCCAGAAAATGCTGCCCAGTACCCTGGGGAGGGTCTTTTTCCAGGGCTTGAATGTTTACTTTACATTGCAAATATTTTTGCTATTATTTCAAGTCCTTGTGGGAAATAAAGCAGGCCTGGGGTTAAACAGATAGCCTGTAGGCAGAAGGAGTTTGCCCTGAACAATTAGGCTCAACACTGTTATCTGTGGGGACTACTCACCAGGTGGGCCTGGTGGAACAGATGAATCCAGCACTGCCCTGAGAACCAGCACGCTCCCCCTACTTGTAACTTTCCTAACACACCTCAGAGCCCCTCCCTGCCCTGCCGGGGATCACGTTCATGATGTTGGATTAATTGTATAATTCACCTAATTGACGGTATTGATTGATGGCCGTGTTAAGAGTGGAGTGTTATTGTTGGTACACAAGTAACATTTATTTTATTCTGACACTGTAATTACAGGCAGTAAATTAAATTAAATATTAAGCATTAACTTGAAATCAATAGGGCAACAAATCTCATTAAGGGGAAAAATGTATTATGCAAATTCTTTCCAGAATTTTATAATCATGAATCATGGCTTCATTACAAGAACTGTACAGTTTAGGAGGCGTGTTGGAAAGGGACAACACGAGTGCCTTCTGATTTCAGAGTTAACGCCTGAGGCTCTTGCCCGAGACCCCGAGACCCCGGGAGCTCAGCTTTATTAGCTTCTGCCCTGGGAAGTAGCTCTAGGCCAGGACCCGCCCGGGCCAGGCCTCCTGCTCCATCTGGCTTCCCTCAGGCCTGACTTCTTGTTTCTGTTTCTTACCCGAATTCATTCGCCTGCCCTTGGGAAAACCTGGGACAGCGCCAGCTTGCACTGGATGACGATTCATCCAAGACAAGAGGAGGTTTTCCACACAGAAAGGACGGCTCTGTCCGTGACATGGGCACACTGCTCCCTCTCATGCTTCAGTCAGGGCTCTCTCCTGGGTGTGTGCTCACAGCCGATCACTTAGCTCTTTTTCTCTGACCACTGCCCTCACCCGAATGCCCCCCGACAGAGAATTTGGATAAGTCCAGAATGACTGGCCTGCTATAGATGGCCTTACCTACCATTTCTTGAAAAGAAAAAATAAAGAAGCCATTAGGATGTTCCCAACAAACAGACTTTCTGTTTGTTCATTTGCATGTCCCTCCTCTTTGCTTTCTTTCATTCTCAGCTCTGTGCACAGCCTGCATGCGGCCCTGGGCGCAAGGCAGTCACCTCTCAGCCCAGCTGGCCGACACACTTTGCTGATTTCTCTCTGCTCAGTATTTCCTTCTACAGCTGAAAGTTTCCAGAAGAAAACATGTGGAACTCAGAAGGGAACAAAACATAAACTCCCTAGGTCAGCGGTTCTCAACCTGTGGGTCGCGACCCCTTTGGCAATCGAATGACCCTTTCACAGGGGTCACCTAGGACCATCCTGCATATCAGATATTTACATTACGATTCATAACAGTAGCAACATTACAGTTACGAAGTAGCAACGAAAATAATTTTATGGTTGGGTCACAACATGAGGAACTGTATTTAAAGGGCCAGAAAGTTGAGAACCACTGCCCTAGGTAAAGGTCTAGAGGTGAGTGGCAGAGGCCGCAAACAAAATATTTTACTGAACTGAGGGCCTTGGACAATGGGACAGATGCCTTTCAAATGATGATCGTGAGCCCTCTCTGAACGCTGTATCTACCTGCCAGTTGGGACTTACAATAACAGGGTCACCCCACTTGATTGAAATTTTCTTTCTAAACAAAACCTAATGAGATCACAGAACACAATGGAACCTGCCCTCCGATGGAAGCCCAGTAGCCCAGAATTCTCTCCTACCTGAGGGTCCACTCAGGTTCTCCCCTCACGACAGCCACCCCTTACCTGGTGGTTGAGCCAGGAGCTAGGAATTTCCGGTCGTCCCCGATCTCTCAACACATTGTCCTTCATGCTTTCGACACAGGGATGCTCCCGCACCTTGGAACCAAATGGAGGCTCATACTCTTTCACTTCTGTTAAGAAAGCAGACAAACACAGGGCCATTGAGAAGAGTGTCTGCAGCCGGGGAACAGGAACACGCTGGGGAGGCTGGCTGGACCACTGAGGCACTGAGTGTCAAGATATATCCGCGACTACTCTGAGTGCAATTTTTAATCATGGGTTAAAACAAGAAGGAAGGAGTGGTTGTAGAAGGAGCTTGAGGAATATTCCACAAACGACGCTTGAGTGCTTGCTCTGTACTAGGTATTGCGCTAACAGCTGGAGACATAGTGGAGCATAAGACCAGCAAGGTCACCAAGCTTACATTTGAACACAGGCATTCTCAATGGGGTGATGTTGCCCCAATGGAGCAAAACTGGTTCTTTCTTGGGAGGTGGAAACAGTCTTACATATTAGAGTGGTTTGTAACCCGACAATGGTCCACAGTACAAAAACAGATTTCATAGGTGGTGTTGAGTTCCTGGCAATATTCAGCCTAGAAAGGGATGAAATTCTGATACATGCGACAGTACGGATGAACCTTGAAAACATTATGCTCGGTAAAAGAAGCCAGACAAAAAAGATAAATATTGTATGACTCTACTTACGTGAGGTACTTCGAATAGACTAATTCTTAAAGAGAGAATGTAGAACAGTGGTTGCCAGGGTGAAGAGATGGAGGGTTAGTATTTAGCAGATTACAGAGATTCAGTTGGGGAAGATAAAAATAAGTCTGGAAATGGATAATGGTAATGGTTGCACAACATTGTGAATGTACTTAATGCTAGTGAATTAATTATTCACTTAAAAATGGTTAAAATGGTATATTATGCATACTTTCATGGAAATTAGTGATTTAGAAAAAAAATGTCTACAAAGTTTCCTTAGGATAGTAATGATGAGAAAAAGTTTGCAAAATGCTGTTTAGTAAGATGATAGAGGGGAGACATTAATAATAACATCAACAAACAAAAGCTTAATAAGTAATTTTCCTTCAGTGAGACATGCTGTAAAAATAATAGGACATGATGTAACCCCTCACTAGGGCTTCAGGTTTCAACTAAGATCAATTTCTTTATAGAAACTTTCTTGAATATGCCCCAAGCCATTCTTGATCAGATGTCCTGGGCAGAGCCCTACTTTATCATGTGTTATATTTTAATATAATCAACTGCTTCTTTGTCTTACCCAACTAGACTGTGAGCATTCGAGGGCAGATTCAGAGTTTCTTTCTCATTCTTGTATTTCCAGCACCCATGAGAGGGCCTCCCATACAAAAGGCTCCCAACAAATGCTTTGGTGTGTGAATGAATGAATGAATGAATGAGTGAGTGAGTGAATGAATGACCTGTTAATCCTGTCCAGTTTACAGCAATGTCTAAACTCCGGTTGAATCTTACTTAAAACAGCACACGAATTCCAGTGGGTGGGCTAATAATGCATGTCAGGGAGGCACGGGAAAATGTATAAGATAGAAACAACTCCAGAACTAAAACATGTCAGAGCTAAAAGGGGGCAGTAGGCTGGATTCAACATTCTTCTCCCAAGGAAGTAGGACCTTTGACCTATCGCTTCAAAATAACCCTGTTTAATGAGTAAAACTTTCTCTCATTGGCCCTCCCAGGCTAAGACGTGAAGAAGCTTTCAGGGCAAAATGACATTTTGTGAGAATAGATGGCTTGCTCTTGTTTGTTTATTTGGTATCTTTCCCAGAACCCTGCTTGCATACTTATCTTCTTCAGCCTCACCCAATCAGGAGAGCTAGCAATATGTTGTCTTTCTACATAGTTGGAAATAGAGAAATGGGGAAGGCAGGCCTCCCTTCACACAAAGACAAGCACAAACCACCCTGCTGTGCGTACACTTTGCCTTGAAGGGCCCACAGCACTTAACCCGCACTGCTCTTGGGGTGAGACCTGAGTTTTGCTTTGCCTGCTTTCATTTATTTCTTCCATTCTCTTCCCTTCTACCAAACTGTAAAGTCCCAAGGAAGAGGCTGACTGTTGTGTTTTGTAACTCCCCAACCAGTGCGAAATGGCTGGGGCCAAATTACATATCTTTTATCCCTGCTTAAATGCTTCTTTAAGTATTTTTATTTTAGAAAATGCAGATAATTCAAACTACAAAATCACTACATGGGTAGATATAGACAAAAGCAAATCTCTCTCAACTCCTTACCCCTTAGGCTAAAGGGTGGGATTAAAAATGATTTAAATTTTCCCCTTGTTGTTTGTCCCTTAGCCATATATTTCTTTATTTAAAAAAAAAAAAAGCAAATATTTTGCCCCCAGTTCATGGGGAGTGAGACTGAACTCAGCACGCCCTGCCCTTCTGAGCACCCTCACGTCTGTGCACTGGACCCACCACGTTGGTTCACTGCTAAGTTTTGAACAGGCCTGCCTGCTACTAGGCTCCTCTATCACTTCTCCCTGCCCCTCTATTCCACCTCACCTTGTCCCCTCTATTCTGCTTCCTCCCACAAATCTCATTTGTTTCTAATGCTTTGAGTTCCTTTAAGGAGAGAGAAATGCTTGTTCTTCTGAAATCAGAGATAAGAGCAGTGGTTCTCCGCCTTCTGGCCCTTTAAATACAGTTCCTCATGTTGTGACCCAACCATAAAATTATTTTCGTTGCTACTTCATAACTGTAATGTTGCTACTGTTATGAATCGTCATGTAAATATCTGATATGCAGGATGGTCTTAGGCGACCCCTGTGAAAGGGTCGTTCGACCGCCAAAGGGGTCGCGACCCACAGGTTGAGAACCGCTGCTCTATGGGTTTCAAATGAGTCAGACAGAGAATGCTAAAGAAGAGTCTACAGAGATGTGACCAGCACCTCATTTGTACAGTTGAGAGAATGAAGGCCAAAGGGCGCACTGGATTCCCGGAAGAGCGCTGGGAACTGCCCACGGCATTACCGTCACTCTGATGGAACAGCTTTGCCTTTTTAGGAAGCTTTCTCCTCTTTACCAAGCCTTTCAGAGACCTCTTTCTCCCCCACCCGGCACAAGCACAGCTGGGAACATGCCTGTCACCATCGTGACAAATGTGTCCCTTGCTGCTGGGGCGAGGCCCTTCCCACCAGAAGACCCGAAAAGGGGACCCTTCTGGGAGGGATTAAAAATGATTTAAATTTTCCCCTTGTTGTTTGTCCCTTAGCCATATATTTCTTTATTTAAAAAAAAAAAGCAAATATTTTGCCCCCAGTTCATGGGGAGTGAGACTTCCGGGAAACACTATGGAAATGAATTACAAGGAAAATGAATTCCACTTGGGTGTCATGGCAACACCAGATCGCCATTAAAGCTACTAACTACCTGCTCTCCTTTCCATCCTCCTTCACATCGCAAGTATGAAACAACCAGTTTGAGAAGCACAGATCACAGGTCCACGGCATTGCTCTACATGTTTTGCAAGGAATACACGTTGCAACCATAAAATTATTTTTGTTGCTACTTCATAACTGTAATGTTGCTACTGTTATGAATCGTAATGTAAATATCTGATATGCAGGATGGTCTTAGGCGACCCCTGTGAAAGGGTCGTTCGATCGCCAAAGGGGTCGCGACCCACAGGTTGAGGGTTTCAAATGAGTCAGACAGAGAATGCTAAAGAAGAGTCTTCAGAGATGTGACCAGCACCTCGTTTGTACAGTTGAGAAAAGGAAGGCCAAAGGGCACACTGGATTCCGGGAAGAGCGCTGGGAACTGCCCACGGCATTACCGTCACTCTGATGGAACGGCTTTGCCTTTTTAGGAAGCTTTCTCCTCTCTACCAAGCCTTTCAGAGACCTCTTTCTCCCCCACCCAGCACAAGCACAGCTGGGAACATGCCTGTCACCATCGTGACAAATGTGTCCCTTGCTGCCGGGGCGAGGCCCTTCCCACCAGAGGACCCGAAAAGGGGACCCTTCTGGGACCCGTTGGATGTTATGGTTTGTCATTCCTCAACAAGCTCTGCAGAAGAAACACTGATGACCAAATGCACCCCTCTCCTCACTGCCCTTATGTACCGACACTGCACCGTTCTGGGGTTAGGGAAGCCAGAGGACCGGGGTTGGTGGAGATGGGGAAAAAGGAGACGGTTGCATTTTAAGCTGCAGGTACCAGGTCAGGGCATGGCTGGCAACAGAGTTAAGGCAGTATTGTCTAAAGTTCCTCTGTGCCTTTGATCAAGCAATGCTCAGGCCTCCCTTCTGTGATGAACTGCAGAGGAAGCAAGATAAGGGGTGGTTCTAGAATGAGAACCACCCTTTACAAAAAATCTGGAAATGCGTCTAAGAAAAAAAGCAAAGAGTCTAGAGAGTAAGACTGAGTTTAGCCCTTAAAAAAAATAGTGCTAACAATATGTGTCACAGGTGGGGGAATTGTCAGTTTTGTTTGCCCTGGCTCCATCCTGAACTAGATAGGAGACATATGCACTTTATGCCTCGGTTCCCATATCCACAAAATGAGAGAAGTCAGTGCCCTCCATCATTACTCTGCACGGTAGCCCCTCCTATCCGCGGGGGGATATGCTTTAAGACTCAAGCAAATGCCTGAAATCGTGCACAGGGCCACCCTCCAACCTGTGTGGGTGTGTGTGTGTGTGATTCGTTTTTATTAAGTCAAGCACATTCACCCTTTTCACTTACAGGAAGCAATTTCCGGCTTCTCTTTGGCACATCCAAATTGCCAGCAACACTACTCTTGTGCTTGGGGGCCATTTCTACGTGAAACAAGGTTGACATGAACACAAGCAATAAGATGCCAAGGCAGTGCATCTGATGATCCCGCGGCTCTGATGGGCCCGAAAGTGGGGAGAACGTAAACAGCGTGGATATGCTAGACAAAGGGATGACTCCCATCCCTAGCAGGCCTGTGTGCTCGATTTCACCACGTTGCTTGGTACACTGTGCAATTTAAAACTTATGAGTTGCTTCTGGAATTGTCCATTTAATCACTTTGAATGACTGCAGTAGCTGAAACTGCAGATAAGGGGGACCACTGTAAACTGCTATAGGACCGACCACTGGCCACACACCCCTCTACG